AATTCCGAGCCATTTTCTATTACACCACGCGCACATCTAAGCGGTTACCCATCTAGGTTCTGACCAGGCTCGACGCTGGTTAACTTTGGCGATCGTACGGTGTTTCAACATGATGTGGCAGTAAGATTTCCTTGTAGGGAAAAGGCTATCATTATCGATTCCCTTCATACGTGAATTAAATTGTAAAACATCTGCAGGTGAACATTTCCTTTCAGTTTACTTACTTGTTTTTATAAGTTAAATATTTATTAATAATTTTCGAATGTTACCTTTTATTAAATAACTGAACATTTCATTAAAAATATACATGTAAATATTTTTGGAACTGGTGTATTTTTCTTTGAATTCTTGGTTCGTACATCCTTTATTTCAATACAAAATGTTTATTGCGAAACGTAAACAAAACAGTGTCAAAGTTTCTTCAGACGAAATTGCATCGCTTTGTTTATAATTTCAATTTAATTTTTCCTACAATTTTTCTAAATATATCGCACGTGTTTTATATAAAAATAACATCTGAAATATATAAAAAAAAATCAGGATAAACAATTTAAAAAAAATCTTTTTCTAGATTTAATTTTTTGTTAATTTATATAACGTAGATATCTCCGCCAAGGTTTAAAATGATTTTAAAAAAAAATTTTAAAAAAATTCTTGAAGCTTTATTTTACCTTTAATTGAAGACTAAAAGGATTAAATTTAGTATTTCCAGTAAGCAAAATATTCTAGTGTATTTCAAATAGAAATTATATTGATTGGAATCTTAACTTTTTTGGTCGCTTTCAGTAAAATCATTAAAATCGGCCGTTTTTGACACATTTGTAAACAAAAGTTAATTCTCACTTTTAAAAATCTTCCAAAAATAAAATATACTTTTCTGAAACTTTATGTGAGGAATATTATCTGATTTAAAGTATAATTAATTTGATTTGAAACAAATATTATTTACTTTAAGTTGAAATTAACAGAAAAATGGATTTTTAAAACAAACAGTAGCGGTGATTTACGTGTTTTTCATCCCTTGTCAAACTCTTGACAATCACTGAGGAAGTGTTGACAGGTCCTACGGAGACTGTTGAAACATAATTTAAGAAAATGACAGGTGGGCGTCTTTTTTATATCATTTTTAAGTATTCAGTAATCTTAAAAATGTTGGAAAATATTCTCCGTAATCTAATTTTAGGAATGTTGACTTTACTATAACCATCGCTCTTATTTTCTGATAATGTCGTGTATAGTCGACCATACTTTCAAAAAGGTGGTACGTTACGCAATATTTTATATACATAAAAAATATTTTTAAAATCTTGAAGCGAAATACTTTGTATTAAGCTTTTCAATTTCTGATTAGTAAATATAGTTTAGACTTAATAACAATATTACATAACAACAGGCTGACAGTAAATGCAGAATGTTAAAAGATTTATATATTATAAATTATTATAATTAAAATTTTTAAAAAAATGAAAACAGTTTTTGTAAAAATTCATTATTCATCGAATTTTTTTTCTTAAGACAATAGTGTTCTTAATAAATCTTATTTATAAAAGCAATTAAAAAAATTTCTAATTAAATAATTAGTTTTATTGTATTTTTTTATTTTATGATTCAGAGCAGATTTTCGGGAAATGAGTAGAAGTTTTAAAAAAAATTGTTGATTAGCAATCTCCAAGGTGTTCTGTTTTTGATTAATAAAAAAATTTTCTGGCGAAAATATAATTTCTAGAAATTTCATGAAATTAAGTGGGGAGTAACATATGTAATAATAAAAAAAAAATACCAGGATAAAAAAAAAAAAAAAAAATTTCAAAAATAATTTCGTTCATTTGTAAGTCCTGAAAGTTTCATTAAAATCCAACAATTATTTGATTTTTGCAAGAATTTCGAAATCAATGTGTTTTCCACTGGAAATAAGCGCAAAAACACTAATCGAACATATTACGTCGACCGTTAACGCAAAAAAAAAAAAAAAAAAAACAAAAAATTTCGAGTGTGCTAGAAAGGATTAAAAAAATTAATAAAATAATAATAATAAAAAAATACTTTCCTCTTAATAATAACAAACATTGTTTTTATTAAGTTTGCGGCATTTTTTTTCATCACACTCCTGTTTTGTTTTGTTTTCAGCGAAAAAGTGGAGTTAAAGGTAATTGACTTTTAAATTTGTAACACTAGGGTAGCGTTTATTTCATTTTATTTTATTTTAATGAAAACAGTGTTACAGTTACAATTTGAAATTATACATTCTCTTAAAAACAAAAAAATAAAAACAACTTAATCTGTCTATATTTCTGAGATGAGGTATTATGTACATTATTTACATTATTCGGACTATTGTCCTCATCTTTGTCGCCATATTTATCACAACGTTTCGGCCGTTGTACGCTCCGACCTTCTTCAGGTGGTTGGAATTTCGAACTGAACCCTTTATTACGCTCACTGGCACACATGGCACAGTGGATAAAGGCGTTGGTTAAGGCAGTTGAGAACTTTCAGAGGGAAATTAACAGGAGATAACTGATAACTGACATCCATCAAACATGGCACGTGGAACTAGAACAGTCTACCCCAGTGAGCGAAATAAAGGGTTCAGTTCGAAATTCCAAACGACGGCCGAAATGTTGTGATAAATATGGCGACAAAGATGAGGACAATAGTCCGAATAATGTAAATAATGTACATAATACCTCATCTCAAAAATATAGACAGATACTGAAAGGCCGAAACGTTGTAATAAATATGGCGACAAAGATGAGGACAATAGTCCGAATAATGTAGTGTACATAATACCTCATCTCAGAAATATAGAAAGATACTGAAAGGCCAGAACGTTGTAATAAATATGGCGACAAAGATGAGGACAATAGTCCGAATAATTTAAATAATGTACATAATACCTCATCTCAGAAATATAGACAGATACCCAAGGGCCGGAACGTTGTAATAAATATGGTGACAAAGATGAGGACAATAGTCCGAATAATGTAAATAGTGTAAAAACAACTTAGTAAGAAAAAAATAATTTAGGTACCACTGAAACGGATACTTTTTTTTTTCATAATGCAAACAAAAATTCGCACCCCCAACCCAGATTTTAAAATATTTGCCAAAAACATGGATTTATTCGATTCAAACGGAATATTCACGACTTATTCACTAATAGATTATTTTAAAAGACAATCTAGTGGAAATATTTTTGTGGGTTTGTTTCACCCACCCCCACCCCCTTTCAATATCTCGTGTGTGCTTTTTAATTGGTGTGATAATGGTTGTTAATTTTTTCACAGATAAAGAAATATCCCTGTAGACATTACGCAATATTAAATGAACATTAGGAAAATTTGTTCCGAATCTTACCAAAAATAATTCAATAAAACTCAAAATAAAAAAAAATATTCCCTGACAGTTGTTGCTTGATCCCTTGTATATAATTTAATAAAACACGTTATTTTCTTTCAGAATATAAAAATAGAAAAAAAAATTTACATTTAATATTGATTCTTAAAAACATTACTTGTAATTTTTCATTGCAATTTTGAAATTCATACCATTCATGCTGTTCGTCAGAAGTTTTTTTTTTTAATTAAATAGAAATAGGATTGAATAATCGAAAAATGTAAAATTTAATGCCATTTTCAATTGTAAAACTTTAAAAAAATGTTTTTTTCCTCTTAGCAACTGTTCGATTATTTTTTCGTATGGATGTTCAAAAAGGAAATAATTCTGAATTACTGCCTATGAGCACTTTTCATCATCGGAAGAATGATAATTCAATAACTTGAGAAAAATTAATTAAAAAAAATACTTCTAATAATGTAATATAAAAAGTTATAATTTTTTATTCTATATACGATTTTATGAAACATAAAATAAATATTTTTTCTTCAGACTATTGGTTATATAATGGTTATCAAAGAATTTATTTTTAAACATAAATTTCAAAGATAATTTATTTTTAAACATAAATTTCAATGTCTTGATTTATTGCACATTGTACTGCTGGTGTTTCAAATTTCTATTATTTTTTTTCATTGAAAAGCGAGAGAAACTCGCTTTTCAAGTCCAGGTGGAATTTTTATTTTTTGACTTTTGACCCCATATTCTACAGTGCGTAAATAAACGTTATGCTCATTAAGTTTTAAACATAAAGTAAACCTTACTTTCATAAAATCTAGTTAATTCACCTTTAGATTTACTAAATGGCATCAAGACAGGTCGACGCTTGGACACAAGGTAAAGCCGTATATTCAGTCACCATCATCATGACGATGTAGGCAGTCACCCACTTGTTGGCCCACTTGTTTTCATTTTTTATATATTTTGTTTTTTTTTGTTTTTTCGTTTTTAAATTTTTTTCCCTCCCCCTCCCTCCCCACTGAAAGGCATTTTGTCCCAATGATCCTACTTATTTGATAGTTTAGTAAGAAATCCCGGTCCGAAATGTTAACAAAGAAAAAAACTAGAAAAATGGAAAATTGAATGTCTTTGACTAGATGCGAGGGTGTCTCGTCAGTATTCTAACGATGTTGTGACAGTATCTTTTTGCTTGATATATTGTCTGAAAGCGGAATTGTTTTTCGCCAAAAAATATTGGATTTCTAAGAGATTTTAAAATTAGTCGTTTATATTATTCGTCTACAATGTTGGTTTGATGAGTCGATGCGTGACGAGAAAACGTGCCAATGTTCTTAAAATGATAAACTTTATTTATCTACGGATAAGGGTTGGACAATTATTTTTCAATTAAAACCGAAATTTAAGTTCAAAGGAGACATTTAAATTAATTAAAAATACGACTTTCTGGGGGGGCTCTTTTTTCTTGGGAAGTCCATGGCAACACCGACTCTTGAAATGCAGATTTTTTTCGATGTTGTCTTCTTGATAAACTTTCATCTAACAGTCTAGTTTGTTTGTTTTTTTTTTCTCTTCTCAAAATCTAACATCCAAAATTATCGTATCTTTCTTCAAATTTATATCGAACAATTTAAAAAAGAAAAGAAATGATCGCTGTTGCCAAACCATGCCAGAGCTCACTAAACAAGGCCGGACTCGCTCAGCCGGCCTCTCGGACAAAAGCCGGACTCGCTCTGCCGGCCTCTCGGACAAAAGCCGGACTCGCTCTGCCGGCCTCTCGGACAAAAGCCGGACTCGCTCTGCCGGCCTCTCGGACAAAAGCCGGACTCGCTCAGCCGGCCTCTCGGACAAAAAGCCGGACTCGCTCTGCCGGCCTCTCGGACAAAAGCCGGACTCGCTCTGCCGGCCTCTCGAACAAAAGCCGGACTCGCTCTGCCGGCCTCTCGGACAAAAGCCGGACTCGCTCAGCCGGCCTCTCGGACAAAAGCCGGACTCGCTCTGCCGGCCTCTCGGACAAAAGCCGGACTCGCTCTGCCGGCCTCTCGGACAAAGGCCGGACTCGCTCAGCCGGCCTGTGGAACAAGGCAGGCCGGCAGAGCAAGCCCTGACTAACAAAACAAATTCACAGCGTTGTTTGCGCGTATGATCGTGATCGTGTTAGAGAAGTCATGACTTAAGAAATCGTGCCAACAAGTGTTCGTGCTAGACAAAGTCCAATTTTACAAGAAGTGTGCTTTTCAGATTGAATTAAAGATGGCTGCTGCTACTGTTGTCTCTCCAATAGATTCTTAGAACATGTTTTGGTGCATGACATCGCGAATGAAGAGAATTTATGATGCATTGGTTTCTGATCGTACAGCAATACGAGAGTATTGTGGTGTCAATGAAAGACTTTCGCTACATTTTCCACTTTAGCAGTATGAATTAACTATTTTGTTAAATTGATAAACAACGGAACCTGACGCAAAAGTCGATACGGAACATTTACTTTCGACCGATGGTTATCAGAAAATGAAGTCAAATTCAAAGTACAGAGCAAAAGGCTCAGACTGAGAGAAAGTCACAGAAGAAAGACTGATTACATTTTTAAACGAAGATGACAATAAAAAATATTATTGTCTATAAAACTATCCATCTCACGAAAAAGCAAACAGAAGGAACCAAGTGGTCCTCACAGAACGGACAGGAAAGACGGCCGTTGAACTGTTCACCTCTCACACACCACTTACGCCTCATCTCCACTTCGCTCGCTGATAGTTCTAAGTTACAACCCAAGAATAAAATCTGGTTTACTGCTAGAAATCGTTTTGTTCTTCACGCGTGGGTAACGATCTGTCCGAAGGGTAATTTTTAAGATACAAGCATTTGACTGCAAGAAATTACACCCTGTCAATGAACTTGGTGTCTGTTCTGAGCTGCAACGCAACACCAGCATCCGTTGATTAAATCACTATTTACTGTTTTTGCAGAATCATTTTCAAATTAAACAGTCGTACGGGCGACCAAACCCGACACACTGTCGAGGTGTACTGCCATACGGGCGCCCAACATCCACACTCTGTCAAGATGTCAGGCCACACATTTTGTTCGGTCGACATGTTCAGCTGTCTAGCCTTCTGTATCTTTATCAAAACATCCATTTTTTTCCGGCTTCATTCTGTCCTGTATTTAGTTATCTCTGTATCCACCTATCAAACTCCTGTCCGCATCTACACATCAGAACTGTTACGTTGTAGAAGTCTCCCGAAGGAATGCTTCCCGGATCCCAACAATCTTAACCGCCTAGTGGTAACCATTGTCGAGACTACATTTCTTTATGGTATTCCCATTTTAACCCATCCTTGTACGCCCTTACAACATGAGCTCTTGGGGGTTGTTTGGAGTGGACATTAGTAATTCTTTTTAAACATTCTGTCTACATTTAAACGTCCAATTATCCGGCTCCGTATCTATCTTACCTTTTCGGAATCTAGCCATCTATCTAGTTCAACCTGTCCAAATCTATCTAAATACCGATGTATGTATGTATCTATCTATCAATCGCTCCCTCCGGATCTTTTTATTTATCCATCTATTTCTCTTTCCCTGTCCCTGCACGCAAGCCGCTAGTGGCCCGCTGGCGGGCAACGATGGCAACACCAGCAGTCTTATGGTGGCAGCCACCCGCGTGCCACTGGTGGGCCTCTAGCGGTCCGCCAGTGGTAACATTGGTGAGACGACCACGGCGGCGGTCCGACAGCGGGCCACCAGTGTTAAACGCCAGTAGCAGATTGGTGGCTTTCTATATATATATATATATATATATATATATATATATATATATATATATGTGTGTGTGTGTGTGTGCAAGTTTCGTTAAAGACGACTGACAAGGTACTGTGATTAAGCTTTTTATTTAATTTTTCTTGTGTTCATACAAGTGTTTTATTTTCTGGACACAAAGTGTGTAAAAACTGTCCAAATATTCTGCAGGTCCGAGCGCTTTCGGCTATACTTTTAGCCATTATCAAGGAAGATTTTATTTTTACTTTTAACACAACCCATACATTCAGTTATGTATGTACCTAGAGTTATCGTAATGTTTTATTTTCCAAACACAGTCATTGCATTGTGGCCGTGTTCATAGTTAATGTTATTAAATGTTGACATTTTCTTTTATATTATTAGGGCTTCCATTATTTTTTTTAATATTTTTTTTATATGTTGATGAGGTTATTAAGCTTGTATTTTCAACTAATATGTTTCGGATGGAGTCTGGTAGGTTTCTGTGTGTGTTTAAATGAGTCCTAATGGAGCTATGATCGTATAGGTGTAACGTAAGTCGTCTGGATAGGTATGTAGTAGCATGACCAATGTAATTATTTACGAGTTTGGTTTGATCAGGAACGCCGTTGCTTCAGAAGCATTTGAACTCGTAAATGATGTTGGTTCTTTGTAGTTTTGATTTTGCAGGTATGTTGCTATTTGTGATGATAAGGTTAGCTGTTTTAAATTTTATGTAATAGATAATTAATTTAATTTTCTTGTTCGGGTTGACTGATATAGCGTATTTCTTATATAAATTAACAGATCACCAAAAAGAATTCCTAAATCTACTGCTAAATTGTCATCTCCAACCTAAATTTGACCTCTTTACAAGGAAGACCGAAAATGAAATTCTACATCAATCACTATCCCAACTTGAGGCATGTGAAGACATAGCAAATCTTCTTACTATGGGTTAAACAGCAGAGTAGGGAATAGATGGATTCATGACTTTACCCTAGAACATGTGTGAAAGTGAATGCAACAGGTGAAGCAAGAATTTGAAATCAATTACATAATAATTACAAAAAATTATTAAAAAAAACCTAATACATAGATGCATATCACCTGTTTCTCTAATATTAATAAGTATTCAGATAACTCATACTTTGGTTATATTGTTACTACATTATCTCATAGACAAACATACTAATTATCAGATAGTAGGTCTATTAAACTGACGTCACCAAGCAAGACAATAAAAATATAAACTTAATATCAATAACACATATTAAGACATACTAATTGATTTGAATAATAATATAGGGCCAAATTGCTATCTTCAACCTAAATTTGACCTTTTTGCAAAGAAGACCGAAATTGAAATTCTACATCAACTCGAGGCGCGTGGAAACATAGCAAATCCCGTAGACCTAAGAGACTTCCACAGTCTGTCGAGATGTCAGATGAAAGATGGACGGCTTCATACCAGAGACTCTGCGATGAAAGATGGACGGCTTCATACCAGAGACTCTGCGATGAAAGATGGACGGCTTCAGACCAGAGACTCTGCGATGGAAGATGGACGGCTTCATACCAGAGACTCTGCGATGAAAGATGGACGGCTTCATACCAGAGACTCTGCGATGAAAGATGGACGGCTTCATACCAGAGACTCTGCGATGAAAGATGGACGGCTTCATACCAGAGACTCTGCGATGAAAGATGGACGGCTTCATACCAGAGACTCTGCGATGAAAGATGGACGGCTTCATACCAGAGACTCTGCGATGAAAGATGGACGGCTTCATACCAGAGACTCTGCGATGAAAGATGGACGGCTTCATACCAGAGACTCTGCGATGAAAGATGGACGGCTTCACAGACTCTGCGATGAAAGATGGACGCTGCGATGAAAGATGGACGGCTTCACACCAGAGACGCTGCGATGAAAGATGGACGGCTTCATACCAGAGACTCCGCGATGAAAGATGGACGGCTTCATACCAGAGACTCCGAGATGAAAGATGGACGGCTTCATACCAGAGACTCCGAGATGAAAGATGGACGGCTTCATACCAGAGACTCCGAGATGAAAGATGGACGGCTTCATACCAGAGACTCCGCGATGAAAGATGGACGGCTTCATACCAGAGACTCCGCGATGAAAGATGGACGGCTTCATACCAGAGACTCCGCGATGAAAGATGGACGGCTTCATACCAGAGACTCCGCGATGAAAGATGGACGGCTTCATACCAGAGACTCCGCGATGAAAGATGGACGGCTTCATACCAGAGACTCCGCGATGAAAGATGGACGGCTTCATACCAGAGACTCCGCGATGAAAGATGGACGGCTACATACCAGAGACTCCGCGATGAAAGATGGACGGCTTCATACCAGAGACTCCGCGATGAAAGATGGATGGCTTCATACCAGAGACTCCGCGATGAAAGATGAACGGCTTCGTGCCAAAGCCTGTCTTGGTTTGTGAACTTGGTTACGTAATTATTTTAAGTTCAATCCCTGGGCCGGGTAATGTGTACTTGGAATCAGTATAAACCTTGCGAGCAGTACTAACATTAAGGACTAGACGAGATATCCCCAGACATGGGCAGTGGGGTGAGAACTATCTACGCCTGTAGTTTACATAATGGCTTCAGTTCAAAATTCCCTGTAGGTTACTCGGATCGACATACACCTGATGAAGGCCGGAGGATATAATGATCGAAACGTTCTGATAAAAAAAAAAAAAAGATATGGATAATAGTCTGCCTGTAAATAAAGGTGACTCATCCCAGAAAGTCAGACAAATTCTCTTACTGATGAGTATTTTCATTTTTACTTTAAATAGTTATAGAATTTTGATTTCAAATTACTTGTTTTTTATTATTATTTTTATTATTATGATTTGCGTATCCACATTATTTCAGTATTAATAGTATGAAAAGGGGATATATTGGCATACTTCAGTCGTCTAATAATTGTAGGGGGTTCGTAAATCATAGCTCTTTCAATGCATCGTGATCAGAGTAAATTATAATTTCCTACATCAAAATCGTGACCACGAAGTTTTCGGTGGCTCAAGAGCACAAGGATTCCATTACATGCAACAGTCCCAATACTTCTTCTTTAGCACAATAACTCTACAGTCAAAGGTTTTGTAACTACGCAGGAATATCTACGGAAATTTCATGGTGTCTTTTTTTCAGAGTCAGGGCATCTGGAGTAGAGGTTTAATCCTCGTTCCCTGTTTAGCATTGGATTTCCGGTTCCTTCTGAATTCTACTACAACTTTATACTTCTAACGTCTCCGCCTCAGCTCTAAAATTATACACACTAATTATTTATTTTTCTTCTT